CCCCCAAAACCCCAAAACCCCAAAACCCCGGGGGTTTATTTAATTATTGATTAATTACATGCTTCATATCTCATCATACTTCCGTCTTATGAAATCTCCAGTCATCTAATATCTCTGAAGAAGTTTATTCTTATTGCCGACAACGAGATAATCTTCCTTATTCTCCTTGACAAATAACTGGTATGCATCAAAGTTCTATATTGGTAAGCTTCCTCCCATTCCTGAAGTACCTTGAAATAGTCATCGATTTGACCTAAATATTAATAGACGAAGTTACCCTTGCTGAAATGACCTTTGTTTTTATGGGATTGACGACCTTTCCACAACCTCTTCTTGATGGCAAGAGGTTTCTTGATAGCAACTTTACGTAGCTTCTTCACTTGTTTGTTGGTGACCAAAGTTGGAGCATTAACTACACAGGTTGGTCTTGAAATTCAAGAAGAGATGCAAAGAGATGGAAATAGGGCATACCGTCTGCTACTTTTCCCTTTTTGTACTCAAACTCCCATCCTAGGTCTTTGTACTTTTTGATGAGTTCCTTTTCTATCTCATCTTGTTCCATTTCTATTTCCTTTCCGAACATGTTGTTCTTGAGGCCAACTGTTTCAAGTTGGTCTATGTATGTTAGAAGTACCAATACAGTAGTACTATAACAGTTAAAGCTAAATTTACTTTATTTGGAAGCAATGTCTTTTTGGAAGTCTATAAGTCAGATTTTAGCCTATTTTAGGGTAAATAGTCACCAGGGTGAGATATTTCAGTCTATGTTGTAGGTATTCCTGTGAAAAATTAGGGATGTGAGATAAATAGCATCGAGCATCATGCCATTTTCTGATTTCAAAATAGCATTCAGAGCTGAATCGTGCTTATTGTACAATTTCAGCTTGATAATCTTATAAATCTGCAAATATTCGCTTGTATTACCTTCTTTGATATCTATTCAGCATTATAGGTAATCACTGTGGTACTCCAAAATACTTACGCTTGAGCTTCATCTTCTGGTACTTTTTGTATAATTTCTCTATGAAAATCATACCGGCTGCACAAACTTTCTTGACTCTCGTTGATTCCACTGCTTACATCATTCTTCAACACTGTTTTATTACTTGTCCTCTATGCATAGAAATTTGTCATGTTTTTATGACCAAAAATGCCAACATATTTTAGAGTGGCTTAGGGCTCTAGTTATCGAAATTATCAGACTTTCTCACTGATCACTTTGAGATAAAAGTTATATGTAATAAGACCCTATTTTTAATTTCTCTAAGAATATTAAAATTTGAGGTATCTTGCTATCATGATGCCTTCTGATGATAGAAGAGCTTCACTTTGGAGTAAGAATAGAAACTTTTGGTGTTAAATTTTTTATCAAATTCAAATATTTTTGTAGTAAAAATATCTTATATATCTTCTTTGAGTTATTTTATCATTAATATTAGGCACTAGAACTTACCTTTATTAGTCTATGTTACTTAATTATACAAAATCCAATATTATATCTCTCCTTTGTGCTCTGTAATTTCACCTGCCTTTAAACCCATCCCACCTTCTCAGCCACTTACCGCGCTCACTACAAAACTGCCTTGACTTCCTTCCAATCTCGAATCCTAAAATCTCACCCGAATTTCCAACCTGTTCATTCAGACTCTGCAGCTAGATTTAATAATTGACTCGAGGATAATTATGGAAACAATCAGCCCAATTGTTCATCGATTATAGCAAACACCTTCCTAAAATTACGGATCCGGAACAATTAGAAAGGTATTTTGCAGATGAAGTTATGGTACATCTCACGCTCTTCACCTACCTTATTCCCCATCTTCCCCACACTATTCCTCCACATGCCACTTCCTCTCTTTGTACTACGCATAACTGCCCTCATTTTATTTCTTAAGGATCGCTTCCTTCCTGGCCATTTCTAGTTGATCTTTGGAGGTTTTGTAACGTTCAGGACGGACCTAGAGGTGATATAGAGGGTACTTTTAAGCCAGACTTGCTGTAGAAGTTGCCTGAAGGCACGGGATATGAGGGGGATACAGCACGAGAGATTGAATGAGAGTCACTGGTGTTGCTCATGTTTGTTCTGGAAGGGACTTTTAGGGTTAATTTACGGAGTTTGTTTCTTGTTCTAAGAGTAAAATGGAGAGTACAAGTGCTTTGAACTATAGAGTAAGAAAAGGTGTTACTTTGAGTAAAATGAGGTGAAATTTGAGTCTGTGGGATTGGGAGATACAGATCTTGAACGTGAATTATCTAATTTCTGAGGAAATATAGTACCTTTAGCAAATATTAATCCTCCTTGACCTAAAGTTTGATATTAAAAGATACTCTGTGCTAATTTATTTTTCATTCTCTTTTTGTATCTCGCTCCAAGGCTTTAATAATTTTCCTGGACCCTTATCCTCCTTTATTGATTCCATAAATGTTAATTCATTATTCCTAGTATCAGGTCTAAAATAGTAGACTTTCTTACTGAACTGGGGTAACAGCTATCCGTTCTCTCTCAGCATGCAAGTCAGGATCATGATAATTAGGGTATCCTCTTCCCATATACTCATTGGGATTCATTTCTTCATTATAATAAATCGATAACTTTCCTACTGGATCATCCTGTGCACTTACAATTCTTGATCAAAGTCTTAATTCTAGCAAGACTGGCTTTATCCTCAACAATCTTCGGTTTCGTACCTAAACTCTCTTTCTTACCACCTACTCACTAATTTCCCCAAGGGGGGTTTCCTAATTTCCTTCTTCTATACCTAACCCCTTCTAAAATTACCTTAAAATTTCCTTCAAATCCCCTATTTTCCAAAACCCCCTGGTCCTTACTCCCCACTCCAAAATTCCTCGACCGGCTTATGTCCTGGTCTTTAAGCCCTCGTTCTGGGCTAGGCTGGAAATTGGCCGACCGGGATTTGAGGTTGGAGTCAAGCTTGGTGATGTGCCTTTAGGTTAGAGAGGAAGCTACCCTGCATTTTTGTACTTGGCGAAGAAAGAATTGTACTGGATGTAATTCTTAGTGTTTTCAGTGGGGGTCTGGGTGACTGGAAGGGACAGGTTGGGGTCGAGGAGCTGGGATTGGGCTAGAGGGTTAGTGGGAAGGTACTGAAAGTGGGCAGAGAGGTGGGGTTCAGGGGTCTGAAGATGAGAGGGAGATTACTGGGTCTTTGACTGAGCGTTGTTTGTGAGACTCATACTGTTCCTACTCATGCTGTTGAGATTTTCTGGGTTGAGGTAGATCGCATTTTGAGATTTTAAGTGTTTCATCTTTATTTTAAGCCTTTTATTCCCTTCTCTAGCCATTTTTTGGAACAAATCTAGCTGGGTTTTGTCTTTTTCCTATGAAATTACAGCATTTTATGCCTCTTTTTGATTTCTGTCTTCACTTTGATGTTCCTATTGTGATAATGTATGCTTACTTCTTGTTCATCTTTTCCATAGCATAATTAAATGTTACCTTTGTTATGTTTCTGCTCCTGCTTATACATGAATTTCCATTTTTGTTCTTCGTCATAGAGTTTGTATTGTACCATCATTTGCTTCTCTGATGAAAGGACTGATGGTTTGACACTATTCTATGAGGGAAACGTTTACAGAACTCATGAGTTATTTAATCTCTACATGGTTAATCTACAGAACATACTTGACAACTCCGAAGCTAATTTGGTTGATTTTGAGAATGACTGAACTTTAGATGAGAGGTTTACATCTTTCTCTATTGATTTATTCTTCCTCGGTTTCTTTGATAAATATATAACACTCGCTTTGCCCACAGAAGAGTTTGAGCTACCTTTTTAGATTATGGATTACCCAAATTTGGCACCTAGTTTCGACTTGATCACCTTTGCATCATGAATGTCTATCAGTAAGTTAGTGAGAGTAGAGGTTAGCCATACTCAGGATAGTTTCCTTTTTATTTCTGCTCTATGATTTTCTCTTCAATCTTTCTAGCCTCCCTCTCTTGATCGAGTGATGATAGCTCTTCTACCCTAACTTTTAATGAAGGAATTACATTGGCCGATGGTTATTTTGGGATGAGATAATTCTCAGGATTTCGTTGCATTTTCAACAGCTCTTCTTTGACTAGGGTATTTTTATGACAAAAGTTACGGTCTTCATTCTGGTTGACAAATCTCTTGGTGATGTCTTGTTGTCTTTCTTTATTTGCTCGCATGGCTAATTGTTCCATATCTTTCTTCTCTTTTATTCTTTTCTCTGTATTACAAAGATGGTGAGGGGCTTAGTAAGGATTTCTTACTTTCTTCAATCATTTCGGCTCTTTTCTTTCCCATTTCGAGGATCTTCTGGTATTTTTTCTTGTTTAAGCTAAATTTAGAAATTAAGGACTACTGTGATAGCTTTTCGAGGTTCATTTGCTCTATAAGAGAGGTTAGATTTTGAGTAGAGAATCGGAAGTCATACTTTTTATTATTATTTGAATCCAATCATAAATCTATTTTTAGGGGTTTTGGGGTTTTGGGGTTTTGGGG